GCCACATTTCCAATAGCTTGTCTTTCTTTGCAGGAATTTTCTTTTGGTGCTTCCATTGACACAAAACCTTAAGAGTAGAAACTGGGAGGATATTTGCATCTTCATCATTCTTAACATCTTTTCCCTTAGAAGCAAAATTCTCAATCAAAGCAAGAGCTTTACTGTTCAACACTTGAGCTGCTTTCGCAATCTTCTTCTTTGCTTCCAGGTGTTTGATCTCATCCAAACGTCTCGTTCTTTCCTTGGAAATGAAATAGTCCTTTGTGTTGAGTGTTCCTCCGCCTGTTGTGATGAAGTGTTGGCTTGAATACTTAACCCCTGCAATGGCATCTTGACGTGCTCTGGTATTTGGTTCTGTCACTTGTTCCACGAACTGCTTGCTCTTTCGGGGTGCATGCTTGCGGAAAATTTCACCGTTGAAACCAGCATCGTTCAATACTTTGATTGCTGCGGAATTCTTTTTTTCGTGTGCTACCAGTGCAGCCACGTTTGGATCTGTTTCTAGATCAATGGAGCCGTCTGGCAAAAGAATAAGTTCGTGTTGAACTTTTTCATCCTGGAGACAATTTCGGGTAAACGGATTAATACCAATAGTTCGCCACACGTCTTTGCACCTATCCACTGAAAAAGCCTTGTCAAACGCATGCTCCAAAACAACGCTTTCATTCCAACCATCACGTTTCCCATAAACTAGCAACGGATAATCTGACTGCCGAAGAGTATCATTTTGTGCTGTTCGCCGATGATAAGAAAGTTGCTCCAGATTCTTTCGATACAACGTTTTGAAGTAACCATAATTTTGATTGGTGGGCTGGGTTACATGTGTCGTATTGGGCACCCCAGGATGAACCAGAAACCCACGTGCAGCTAGACGCGCCAAAAGAGATTCGTTGCTCCGCCCTGGTCCGCTATCAACTATGAGTATAACTCGCTTTCCTGGTAGGTTTGATGCATCGGGATATAACTTGACAATCGCATCCATAACGTATTTCTCAAACTCACAACCGTCCATTCCTGCAGTTTCGTTACAATTGACCGTTGCCCCATGGCTTGTGACGTGATCACCACCGTACAATCCTCTGGTGTTTTGAATGCCGTTAACAAATGTTTCGTGTATACGCTTTTTTTCTTCATCTGATGTTCTCGATTTCAATTGAAAATGGGGAGGGAGTGGGGTGCCTGCAGCAGTACTACCTGCAATCAACGTGATTCTTGAACTACTCTTGTTTGTTCTGTCAGCTCCACATCCAATATATCTATCAGCAGACCCATAAGCTGTTGAGGGCCTCCCACCAGCTTGGCTTCCATTCCCATCCAGTGTCAACCCTGATTCATCCAAATTGATAATTCGATTTAGTTGACCAGGGAAAAACACCAGTTCACCTTCAGCAATTTCATCGTCTCTTTTCATTCTGGCAAACCCATTTGCGACAAGAGTGTCCTTTAGTGTGTTAAACCAAGTGTTAATGTTATTGTACGTAGTCCACTTCAGTCTGCGCTCTTCAATTTTTGTTTCGCTTTTTGCAACTTTCAAATGCTCTGCGAACGTTGGCAACAGACGGTGATACAGACTCACGAAATCAGTCAACAAGCAGGGGCCCGGTAGAAGACACGCTTTCAACATGGATACAAAACCTTTGCGTCGGGGAACCGTCTCCTTTTCCTCACACGCAAGAGCGACAAAAGATGAGACCGCATCAGCTATTGCCGCTTTGATTTTGGGGGGTAACGAACTCTTCCGCCCCCGGCCGGGGGGGGCCAAGATCGTCCTTCAAATGCCGTCTAACGGTGTTTGCTTTCAAGGAGGTATTGTAAAGCAAGTTAACTTGAGACACGATGCTAACAACGGAGGAGCGTGACTTTGGTGGAAAATTTTCCTTCTCGTACCTAACCTTCTTAGCTGCCGCCTCATATGCATCGTCATGAGCTCGTTTCTGAAGAAACTTGTTTACCGTTTTGATATGAGCTTGTTTAGGAGTATCTGGTCCCTCATCAAGTAGTTGYGGAGCTAGTGAGCCTGCCTCTATAGTATCATCTTTCCTTACTGACGACTTGGTGAGAACTGCTATTTTAGATTCCAACTCCTCAAGCTTCATCCCTGATATTTTTGCTAGCTCTTCCAAGTTGATCAACGCCACTTCCTTGGAGGATGTCAAAGCTGATAATTCTGGTTCTGCTTCTTTCTTTGTGGACATTTCAAGATAAGTAGGAGGGGCCTTAATCATCCTTTCCATGCACCGGTGTACTCTTCTTTGTAACGCTTTATTGTTCGCCTCCTCTTCAGTGAACTGAGCTAATATCATTGATCTCTTCACAGAACACTGGAGACCCCTGGACTTGGAACCATGCAAGTTCTCAGCAGCAAGGGTTGTTCTTTCACAAGCCGTGACCGCGCGTCCTGATTTCACTGATCCAACTGCAACTGTGTCCTTTAGTACTGCTGGCGTCGACCTGCTTGATATTGCTGCTTTTTCCCCTGCTTTCCCCCCTCCTTCCTCGTGTTCTTTGGTGCAAATCGCCAACCCCACTCCTGATTCAGCACGCGTTTCCACACATCCCCTGGTAATGGACCGGATCAATAGTGCTACTGGGAGTACAGTGGTGGCTCTGGGGGGCCCTGGCATGCTTGTTTTCATCTTATTCTTACTGATACTGCTCATTTCAGAGCCGAAATAGACCCAAAATACAGCAAAAACTGCTTTTTTTTCAAAATACTTGGCCGATTGCAACGATACTTCGGGATCAAGTCTCCTTTGATGTATTAAGGAGGGTACAGACACTGGTTTCCTGTGTTAAGGGGGGGAAGGTTGATTCGTTTTAGTTACAATGGGGAGTTCGTCGTTGCTGTTTTCACGTTGATTTTCGACTGTAGCTTTTGGTATCCTGTTGCTCCGGAACTACTTGATGGATTGATCCGCTACTTCACGGTCCTCTTCCTCTTGATGTAAGGATTACAACGCTTGTCTTGTGAGCGCGATTGGTTGGATAGTGATAAAGTTCTGGAGGAGTGACAGCTTGCCTTGTTGAGGTTGGTGATTTAATGAAAATATTTTTTATTTTCCGTGCGCTCAGAAATCAACAAGCCCGAAAAGGTTATCTGACAGGAAACATACGCAATATGGATATGTATCGAAAGAGGAGGGAAAACCCTTTCCGACTGATGGATTCTCTAATTCTGATTGGTCCTTGTGCTTGAGTTAACAAGCAAGCAAAGTGAGCAAAAAACTGGCGCGTTTTATGTACTCATAACCTGTTAGGAATCGATAGTCTTAATTCGAACCCAAATAAGTACTGTACAATACAGTACGGTACTTGTTGTTCGATTCGTTGCCATYCGTGAAAATAAATTTAGAAGAATGCGCCTTGTTGAAGGGGTGTGACAAGCGAGAAAAGATCTCAGTTTCTCTTCTTGTGACGTCATGTGAGGGAAAGAATTTTCGCCAAAATTCAGCGGTCCTCGCATTSAGCGCCCGCATGGCACACTTTTGTAGTTTCTTTTCTTAACATCAAATACGCCAACCGGGCAATCTATTATTAATGACCAATGAAGTGATCTAATTCGATGGATGATTTTGCCACCTCAGTWTTGGAAGTCCACCGTCACCAATAATTATCGCGGCTCGTTTTTTTATCAATACTTCCTGTCTCTATTACTGTTGGTACGGCGAATTTCGACAAAAAATGAAAGGTAGAGACTTAAGTTCACGTKAAKTTTTTGGGAGACTTTTTGCCTCACTCAGTCAGGTTTTCAGTTTKGTTACGTACTGTACTGSTAGTTTACCTSATGGAARGTCAGGAAGTGAGTGAAAATCGGATTTTCTCGTTTTCAGTAGTTGGGACGGTAGCCAAATTTTATCTCCCCTCAAAAAATAGGCAACAAAATTGAATTAAGTTCTCTCCAAACAGGCAGATACCACATATTGTTACACATATTACCATCCATAGTGGTAAATTAAAACAATTCCATCCACCGATGCATCATCTTATTTTCTTGTGAATAAAGATTCGAGTAGCTACGGAGTTGTGGACCATGGCTCCTTTGTATATTCCAGAAGAAAACGATTTCTTTTGCAGCGATGACGACTCATCTGCTACGTCGTCYACAGACGCAAGCAGCTCGGCCTCCTTGTCCTCGTCTTCGTCGTGTTTCGAAGCGTCGCAGCCACCGCAACATGCACATAGAGTGCGGTCCGTTAGCTTTGCAGCAGGGACAACTGTTCACGAGGGTGCTGTCATGAACATCGAGGACTACAGCGAGTACGAAAAGTGTGAATGCTGGTACCAGTTGGAAGAAATGCGAGAGATCCGACAGGACGTGAAAGACACCGTGGCTATGATGAACATMCAAAGCCAAGCCAATTTGAATTCAACAGGCGACAGAAAATTGATGACCGCCCTCGTTGACGATGTCACCCAAACCATCAGAGGATTGGAGGGGAAAACCCGTGCTGGAAAACGCCACCGGAGAGAAGTACGGCTTGCATCCATCGCGGCGGTATTTGACGAACAAACTCTACAGGAAATGGACGGTGTGATGGATCCTTTGCTGATTGCAATGGCTTACACCGAACATTCCTATCCAATGCAGGTGGCAGCACTCGAACGTGCCTCGATCTATCGGGAGGAGGCGAACGAAATTTATAACGAAGATTCATCGTTACTGTTGCGTACTCCTCCTTACAGCACTCTTAAGGACAGTAACGCGGCGGAGCAKCAGAAAAACAATGTGGTAGAGAACAGTCTTGCGCAAGATGAAACCTCAGTTGTTTGTGACGACGTCGTGGTTGGACCYACGATATGTGTTTTGGAAATTGAAGAGGCAGATGATGTCGTCGAACAAGATAACGAAACAACTTCTAGCGGTGCCTTGGATGACAAGAATTTACAAGGCAGCCCCGCGATCGAGGACTCTTTGTCATTAAAAGACAACCAAAAAGACGATATCCTGCCGGAAAAAGTCGAAAACTTTGATAATGTCAACAACGAGATTCGTCCATTCAACAAAGGGCCACTGAGGTTTCGTGAYAGGTTCGCATGCTTCTTGCCAGGTGCTACCTCCAACAGAAGACCTGCTCTTATGGGTGCCCTTCGAGCTGTTCACATTTAATACATGAAGGAATGAAACCATTGCTTCCTAGATTAATTCTGCCTTATCTTGCGTTTGGTTAGCTCATCTTTAACCGGACGGAYGAAACATAGAAACAATAGAAAAGCTAAAAGSTATTGCTACGAATATGAAATAGTTGCCGAAAGAAACTGAAATGTTACGAGTTTATCTTCTTCTTGTACGGTTAGATCGCGATAAATGGATATTAACATTTTCTTGATTCTTTCAGTCACCAATATCAAACATTGACACTTTGATGGATCACCATCATTCAACAAAAAATTTGTAAACACACTGAACTCTTCAAGATTATACGGATATGAATATATATCTGTTGTTTCTACATTAAGATCAAGGGGTAGTAGATCATTTCGGTCTCCAACACCCGCCCTATTACCCAGTACTTTGCTCCAATGTCTCATAGTAAACAACCACTGGAGAGCGTCACACAAGATTCACTGGTCTTTGACGCCTACTCCAAAAAGAAGCGACACAAACAACCAGTCGTGCCAGATACTTCTTTGGTTTCCCCTGTCAATTCTTCCAGKTTACTCCAAACCAAGTTAAATCAATTCTTCTAATTCCAGTGAAACCAACCCCTGGTCGCATTTCCATCTTAACTCCTCGGAGGGAAGTGGCGCTCCTCGGAGCAGCTAGAAGCATTCTTTCTAACAAAAGCTATGGTTCTGGCCATATAGTGCCTCTTCTAGTTCACGAGGTAAAACATAATATTAAGATTTTTTTTAAGTACATGGCAACAGTAGTAGTGTGGTGCCGAATGCTGCGGGGCACAGTGGTCTAGTTCACAAGGTTAAATATAATATTAAGATTTTTTTCAAGGGGTAGTAGATCATCACATATTTATTGTAGTCATTCCTTCTTGTCGTGCTGTATTTTCCATTAGTGCAGCAGTAGCCATTTGATTTTCCTGTTGGTATGAAAGATGTCGGTGGCACTCTCCTGGTGGAGCACAAGTTCTCTCCCTTGGTGTAACTTCTTGTTTGAGCGTTGTATGTTGTTCCTTGTACGCCAGCAGAGATCCTAGCTTTCCAAATACTAGTAGTAGTGCCATCTCTCCTCCTCCTMCTACTCCTACTACTAGTACCACTAGTAGTTAACAAGTTCAAATGAATTTTTGGGTTATGAAAGATAAAAAAATCTTAATATTATATTTAACCTCGTGAACTAGAAGAGGCACTTGGATGGCCAGAACCATAGCTTTCATTAGAAAGAATGCTTCTAGCTGCTCCAAGGGGCAGCGCCTCCCTCCAAGGAGTTTTTGTGGAGGCGTGACCAAGTTCTATGCACACTGATAGGCCAATGRCGGCCCAAGGCTGGACTCAGAGGACATAAAAGCAGTTGGTTCACAGTTTGGATGGATGAGAACCATGCCATTATCATTTCAAAGGGGCACTGCCAAGCCCATAGGTTGGGGGTGCTCAAGCCCCAACCCGTACATTATCATTTCAAAGGGGCACTGCCAAGCCCGTAGGTTGGGGGTGCTCAAGCCCCAACTTGTAGGAAAGTTACCACGCGCAGTGATCAAGGAAATGTGTGCCACRCACACTGCCAAGCCAATTAAGGCAAGTCTACACCACAGTGGTCGAGGACACTTGTAGTCAAAAAGAAAAAATCAAAAAAAAGAAAAGCCAAAAAGAAAAAAGGAAA